AACTAACGGCATCCCCCTCACAGGGCTGTGAAGGGTAAAGGGCATGGAGAGGATGGATAAGAAACATAGTAACGTTCAAAACTGATAGCCGGCCCTTCCTCCCAGCTAGTCTGAACCCAGATCTCCTGCAATTGGGCCCATTTTGCCTGTGTGTGTTGGAAAAAAACAAGTACCCTAAATTCACTCTCCTAATAAGCCGTGAGTGTGTGTTACAGCACCGTTGACTGTAAACGCGTTGTTGTGCAGCAGATCTGGAACTTCTCCATTTTGCGGGACTGAACTCTATACCCATCAAACCTCCCGTTTCCTCCTGCCCCGGGCCTTGGCAACCACCCTTCTTTCCATTTCTATGAATTTGACTACTTGGGGAATCACGCAGTAGCTGTCTTTTTGTGATTGGCTTTTTTCACGTAGCATCATGTCCTCAAGGTTCATACAATGTGGTCGCATGTGACAGGACTTCTTTTTTTTGTTAGGCTGAGTAATATTCATATATGTGAGATACACGAAGATATGTGATACATATATAACATATATATGAATATATATACACATGTCACTTCTTCTATTCATTCGTCTGTCAGTGAGCGTTTCGCTCGCTTCCACATCTTGACTATCGTCAATAATGCTGTGGCCGACATGGCAGAGCAAGGATCCATTCAAGATCCTGTTTTCGATTCTTCTGGGCATATACCCAGAATTGGGATTGATGGGTCATATGGTAGTTCCGTTTTTAATTGTTTGAAGAATCTCCATACTGTGTCCCATAGTGGCTGCAGCATCTTACAATTCAGGTCCGTTTTTTATTAATTTAATTTAGGTTAATTCAGCACCACCCTTGACCAGAAAAGTCATTTGAGTGGGAATCTGGGTGGGGGATGATGGCAGAAGGGCCAGAAAGGAGGGAAATGAAGGAGAGACAGAGAAGGCATCAGCTCCGGCTGTCTGCCCTTCGGGATTTCTTTCTTTTTTGTATTTCTTTTTTTATTTTTTTAATGTATGTTTATTTTTGAGAGACGGAGCATGAGCCGGGGAGGGTCAGAGAGAGAGGGAGGGAGACACAGAATCGGAAGCAGGCTCCGGGCTCTGAGCTGTCAGCACAGAGCCCGACCCGGGGCTTGAACCCACAAACCATGAGATCATGACCTGAGTGGAAGGCAGGCAGAGGATTGACTGAGCACCCCCCCCAAGGTGCCCCTCCCCTCCGTGTCTCTCATGTGGGGAAGGGGCACTCTTGGCCCTGGGGCTGGAAGTTCCTCCTCTGGAGCCACCGTCCCACGCGTTGCAGGAAGAGTACCAAGGCACTAAATGCCAGTAAGACCCGCAGTCATCGTGCACCCCCAAACGTTCACATAGTTCCAGAACCTCCCCCTCGGGACGGCCCCAGCCCTGGTTGAGGGCGATGGAAGGTTCCAGCAGCCCCCGAGCTGTGTGCTCTCTCTGGGAACCCCTCAGCAACCAGACGGCCGCAGGGGCGTCAGTAGCCCTTCCTCACTGACCCTCCGTGAGCTGGGATGCAACGCAGAGGTACTCGGATGGGGAGCTGGAAGCCACCAGCGGAGGGAGGGAGGGGGGCAGGGACAAAAGCCGGGAAGGAATGCGCTGGGTTTGGCCGAACCTGCATTTCCCTCCAGTGAGACACCTGATAGTCCCTCGTGTGAGCGCCTTTGGAGCTGAGGACTTGTGCCCAAGCCCCCCTGCGTTGTCCTCAGCTTACCTTTAGCTCATTGTAACGTGAAGATCTCCTTCTGTGGGCGGGGTTTTCTGCCACTTTTTCAGCATGCCAAGTGTGCACCAGCATGTTGACACGTTAGGCTTGTACAACTGAGCCCTAGCACCTAGGTAATCGAATATGCCTAAGTTCCTTAACACACGTGCCGGCTCCCGCCCCAGCCCCCACTGAGGAAGCGTCCCCCCACTCACCCCAGGGGGACTCAGGGTTTAGAGAGCTACCCCTCTCTCTCCTCACTTGTAACAAGGAATAGAAAGTTCTTTGCTTTCAACGTTTCCTCGGGTTGTGTTCGATTTAATGCACCCCAATTGGCAAACCCCTTGAGTTTGGTTACACTTCCTCATGGCTGGACTCTTCCAGCCCCAATTCACACGCTCTCTGCTGGGAGAAGCTGGTGTCCTTTCAAAGGGGCAGTGAATAGAGGAGGAGACAGGTTCTTAGCTTGCAGCGGGCACCAGCAGTCTCTTCAAAAGCACTCAGTAACTCAGTGAAAAACCAGCACGCATCTACGAGCGTGGCCAAAACCTAGACCACTGTCAATACCAAATGCTGATGAGGATGTGAAACCACAGGACATTCCTTTATCGCTGGTGGGAGGATAAAATGGCAGAGCCCCTTGGGAAGACAGTCTGGAGGCTCCCTGCAAAACTTAACACATTCTTACCCCCCAGCCCAGCAACTGCGTTTCTGGGTCTTTACTCAGTGGAGTTGAAAACTTGTGTCCAGGCAAATGCCTGCACGGGGGTGTTCACAGCAGTTTTATTTGTAATTGTCCAAACAGGAAGCAACAGAAGTGTCCTTCAGTGGGTGAATGGGTGGAGCAACTGTGGTACGTACAGACTGTGGAATATTATTCGGTGTTAAAAAGAAATGACCTATTAGGAAGACATCCAGATGGCCAACCGACACATGAAAAAATGCTCAACGTCACTCATCATCAGGGAAATACAAATCAAAAGCACCATAAGAGACCACCTCGCACCTCTCAGAATGGCTAACGTTAACAACTCAGGCAACAACAGATGTTGTTGAGGATGCAGAGAAAGAGGGTCTCTTTTGCATTGTTGGTGGGAATGCACACTGGTGCAGCCGCTCTGGAAGACAGTCTGGAGGTTCCTCAAAAAACTAAAAACAGAACTACCCTACGACCCA